ACGCAGCTTCGGCGGCCACAGCGACACCGGCAGCGGGTGAAACGCGCAGGAGCACGCGCAGGAACAAGTCGGATTCACCCAACGATGCGCAGCGCCCTAGCGAGCTGCTAGACGACGTTGACTCGGACGCCTCTGCTCCTACGCCCGCCTCGTCCACTTTCTCCGCGCCTTCCACCATGTCGCGTTCTGGTCAAAATATTTCTCTCCACGCCCTCACACCCTTGACCAGCTCAGACTCGTCTCCGCCGGGCAAGCTGCCCAGTCCGCGCTCTTCCAAGCTCTCGCATGAGACGATGCACACAACCTCGTCCTCTACACACGCGGCGCCATCGAGCGCGCCCAACAATGTCGCCGATACCATCACCCCCATAAACACGCCGCCCGAGACGCGCATCTCCGTCTTCCCAGCCGACGGCGTGCTGGGACAACGCTCCACCTACGACGCACAGCTTGACCCCAAACTCGATAAAAAGGCGCGAGGAAGGGGAACGGCGAAATACACCACAATACTGGACAAGGTACGTGAAGGTTACAAATACATACATAGATGTGGTCGCCCTGTGACGCTAAGGCTAACTTAACTTGTGTTACAGGGCGACCCATCTCCTCCTCCCGACCCACGCCTGGCCATTGCCGGCTACACCACTGGCAACTATGTCATCAAGACATCCTTCACGGGCGCTCCCAAATCAAAGCTCCGAGTAGCGCCATACGTCGCTAAGCCCTACTCTTTTGATCAACGCATATCATGCGGACCAGGGCCTGCAACCCAAGTCGTTGTGACGGGCTTCGATCCCTTGACACCAGATGCGCAGTTGCGTGGTTTCTTCTCCACTTATGGCCAAGTAGAGACGCTCCGCAACCAAGTACATCCCGATAACGGCAGCCCACTTGGGATATGTCTGGTCAAGTTTCGCGACACCCCACCAACGCGCGGAGTACCTGGCATCAAAGCAACCACCTCAGCAAAGCGAGCTGAGCGCGAAGGCACAAATCAGCGCATTGCGCAGCACACGATCAGGGTGAAATCTGATCGCGAGGGCCGGAGATGCCAGAAACTCATGGATATGGCGGTGCAGCAGACCCGGAAAGAGGAGGAGAAACAGCGTGCCAAGCTCGCAGCGAAGACTACGAGCGTTGCGGCACCAGCTACACCGGGAGCCTTTGATCTGCCGGCAAACGTTCCCAAAGGCCCATCTGGCAAGGGCGCGCGTCCGCCAATCCCGATCCCCCGAGAACCCTTGACAAGGAAAGCCGCACTCTCCTTCCTGATCGAACGCGAACCGGTCAAGCCTACGCTGAAACGGAAGCCTTATATCTTCATCGCACACGCATACGTACCCGTCCTCAGCACAACCGTCGAACATCTCAAGAAGCGGTTAAAGAACTTTCGGTGGGCTTCGGTGCGATGCGACCAGACGGGTTACTATGTGACTTTCGAAGAGTCGAAGCGTGGTGAAGACGAGGCCGTTCGATGTTACAAGGAATGTCACATGCAGGCTCTATTCACCTACGTTATGAACATGGAGTGCAACCAATACGGCGACCCGAACTATGAGCGGAGTCCCAGCCCAGAGCGCGTGGTAGCCGACAAGAAGCGGAAGGCCATCGAAGAGCGGATAGAACATGAAGAGGCGGAAGATCTTGAGTGGGAAAAGAAGCAGCGGGCAGACTCGCTGGATCCTGTACGAGCCGCTTTGGACGTGCTCAAACAGGAGCTCCAAGAGAAGCTTCTTGGTGACATTAAGACGAAATTGGCCGCGCCCACTATACTGGAACTCCTGGAACCGGATCTTCATGTGGAAAAGCGTCGCAAGTTCAATGTTCCGGCTCCGCCTACGAAGGAAGAGGTTGTTCGACCACCCGCACTTCTCGCCCCAGGATTCGACGCCTTTGGAGCTGGTACACCAAAGGGCCGCAATGGTGGTTTTGGTGGCCGCAACGCACGCAGGTCGCTGGGTGTATTTGATCCCAGTACCAGGCGTGGTAAGAAACCTCCGAAGGTTGTCAATGCATTTGCGGACGAACGAAGGAAGGCATCTGCGCCTAAACCCCGTGTTGCCCGTGGGCTGCATCGCCAGATGATTGAGATGTTCGAGCCGGAGGAGTCGGACGATGAGAGTCGCAGCCAGCTCACTCGCGGTACTGAGGAGCAAGAGAGCCGACCCATCAGCCGTGCTCCTTCCACCGACGTTGAAGAGGAGGTGGAAGAGTCATCGAGAGCCCACCGCGCTAAACGGCGCCGTATCGAAACGGGCTGGGGCGAAGACAGTGACGAGGAGATGGACGACTCGCATGCCAGGAGTTTGCTTGCCCATTGCATTCATAAGGATCCAGAGAACATGGCCGAAAAAGAGCTGGAACAAGTACTCGCAATTCTTCCTCGTTCGTCGCCTATTTGGAAGAAGGCAGACAAAGCACTCAAAGGGTTCAGGAGGTTACGGAAAATTGAGCAAGAGGCTGATGCAATCTTTGGGGTGGAAGCAAGCCCGATTGACAAACTTGAACCTGAAGTCGTCATCACCCATGACGACGAAGCACTCAAGCCCATCGAGACTACTGAACTGCCAGAGACGCTCACGACACTCAAGAAGAAAGCTGCCACCAAGCCCAAGAAGAAGACCAAGAAGCAGCTCGAAGAGGAGGCCAAGGCTGCTAAGGTCGAGGTCACGGAGATCGAGACGCCTGCGGAAGAGGAGATTGCTGAAGCGAAAGAAGTCAAGGAGGTCATCGAAGAGGTCGTGGTTGAGGAGTCGACGCCGGAAGACGACGAGCGGGCCTCTTCTGTGTTCTGGGGCGTGTCCTCTGTTGAGCCTCGTAAGACTGTTGAGGATGACCTCAGTGTTGTAATGGACATTGACGGTTGGCAACACATGCTCAAAGACGACGAAGATCTCCGTCACCTCAAGGCTGCCATGGAGTCCATCAGTGCAGCCAAGATTGGCGATGCACAATCCTGGGCATGGAAACAAAAGTCTATCAAGCATCTCAACCGCAACGGCGAGGAGGGTGTCTCGCGTACGGAAACCAAGATCGAAGGGTACTACGTTCCCAACACGACTGGCTCGGCTCGTACGGAGGGTGTCAAGAAGATTCGCGAGTCTGAAAAGTCAAAATACCTCCCTCATCGTATCCGCGTCCAGAAAGAGCGCGAAGAGCGCCAGCGGCGCGCCAAGCAAGAAGAGCGAAGCGTCGTCTCTGTTGAAGGCTTCAAGTTCCAGACCAGCTCCAATAAGACATCCACCGCCAACTCGCGTGCCAACCGCGCCAACAACCGTCGCATGGTCAACGATATCAACATATCCAAGAACATGTCCGGGGCAGAAGGCGATGCCCTCCGTTTCAACCAGCTGAAAAAGCGCAAGAAGCTAGTCAAGTTCGACCGTTCCGCCATCCATAACTGGGGTCTTTACGCCCAAGAGCCCATCGCCGTCAACGACATGATTATCGAGTACGTGGGTGAAAAGGTTCGACAACGCGTTGCCGATCTCAGGGAAGCCAAGTACGACATGCAAGGTGTCGGATCGAGTTACCTATTCCGCATTGACGAAGACACGGTCATCGACGCAACCAAGATGGGAGGTATTGCAAGATTCATCAATCATTCTTGCACGCCAAACTGCACGGCCAAGATTATTCGCGTCGACAACACGAAGCGTATCGTCATCTACGCGCTGCGGGATATCAACTCTGGTAAGCACAGTTCCTTTTTCCGGACAATTCATGCCATGGAACATCTACTAACAATGTTTCCAGATGAGGAACTCACGTACGACTACAAATTCGAGCGTGAAATGGACGCAACGGACCGTATTCCCTGTCTCTGTGGTTCTATCGGCTGCAAGGGCTTCCTCAACTAGTCAGCTTCGCATGGCTTCAGCTCTGCTTCGGCTCCCTTGGTACATTATCTTTGCGCCGGCTTTCCTTCAACATCACACTTTTGCAGCGCTACATCGCTGCTTCTTTTGTTTCAACACCTACACTTGGCAGGGAGCGAAAAAAAGGCGGCTCATCCCCATATGCACATGAAGCTAGGCTTCATCTTGGATTCGGGACTGGAAGAAGAGGGAAATCTTGCATTGCATGGCGTTTTTCAGTGGCTACATATTATCACCATCTTCCTGGCACCCCTTTCTTCCTTTGAGAGAAAGGGCGCGAATGTATCATTTTTCTTATCCGACTAAAAGAATGGGCGAAGGGTGGGTGGGCGGCACTTGCCCTTGACTTTATCGATGGGTTTGAGTCAGTCGGGTCACATCTTTGGCATTGTATCTGGTGTTTTTGTCGCTTTATCTTTTTTCACTACGCTCAAAATCACCATTTGTACTATTTTAACATCTCTACGAAGAAGAGGCGTCGACGGAAGAGTGGTAGAAAACTCATGGTATGTGTGTGTTTGTGTGTCGGCTTTTGTGCCGTATTATCGACACCGGTAGCTATAATCAGTTCGCAAGGGAACAGAATGAGAAGATTGATCATATATCCACTGCCCATGTTAGATCTTGAGTGAGGTTATACATGGTCTTTTCTCTTGATACCCCATTCGAACAGTCATCCCAGCTAGCTACCCAACGAAATGACGTGCGCAACGCAACATCTCAAGGTTCCTCCAGGAGACTGCTCCACGGCCCTGTTGCGAAACCGGCGGCTTGGTAGCATAGGCGCGGGTCCCGGGGTCCGAAGGTATGATGGGGGCTATGAGGTGGCAGGTCAGAGATTTGTATCGCGCTGGTAGTGGGTATGCTCGCTATGATCATGGGAGTGGCAGGCAGACTTACAAGAAAGGCCTCTTTGGAGCATTGTCTGGGTGCCCATACGCTTCATGTCTAAGCAGTGCATGTATATTAGTCTTCATTGTGTTACGATCCGACATGAAACCCGGGAGGTAAACCAGCGACCAAAGGAGATGGCCTGGCAGCGCCTAGGGGTGATTGAGACATGACGTGACGGCTATTGCACGTATCAGACCCTTGAGATGGGGGCAAAGAGACCGGGGAAGCTTACTCGGAAGATGCGGTGTCCATATCGTGACCCTGACTGTATGCGGACTGCATCCATATATCTTTGGGTGCGTTGGATAACTGACCGAAGACTCTATCCCTGAGGAAAGAATTAGTACATGTGCATGAGAAGTTCTTTAACTCAGGGGTTTCCGTGTACGTTTGTAATTTAGTTAGGAGAAACACATGTGTGAAGAGTATCTTTGTGGGCACTACAAGGAAGTTGGAACGAGCCTTGGATGTGTTTGATGGATCAGGTCCTTACTTTCGCCCATGTCGGCAAATCTAAAGGCTCCGATATCACAGGCGTTCTTTTCAGTAAAAAAGTCGTCTCGTGGATCTGAAAGACGCTCCTTCAGGGTGTTTAGCACGGCCTTCCATCGTCGTGAACCCCGACTAATATCTCTTGGGTATGCAGACCAGACCTTTTTGTGCAAACGCAGATGTTTGCTCTCGCCGTGTTGGGAACGAATGAATGAAATGCATACATACCATGGATCAATACGATCCTCCCTCTTTTGCTTTCTCAAGATATTCAGAATGACGGCAGCCTCTTTTATAGCAAAGTGATCGGCAATGTGCTGCAGGTGCTTCAGACTCCAATCGACTGCAGATTGTGGACAGCTTCTTGACCAAGCAACAACGTAGAGGCTGAAAATCAGTATGTATACATCGAGGATGTGTGGTATGCTGTGTGCATGTTGTTTACCCGTGCTTCCAATAGGCAGCTTATCCTTTGCGACTAGGTCGCAGTCCGTCATCTGAGGAACCGATGCGACGATCTCCTGGACGAGGGTCAAGATGGCAGTATTTGCTCGATCACACTGAGCGGCAACTTCAGGATCACAGCTCTCGGAACAGGACTGGATGATCTCCTCGCAGAGAAGTATTCGGGCTATGCGAAGCACGTTCCACATCTGGGTGATCATGCGATCGGGGTAGACGTCATACACCCTTGGGAATCCTGCGGGTACCAGTCTTGCTCCATCGGGATCAGATAAGCTTTTGCGTTCATACGTCCAAGCCGGGCTCGCTTCAAATGCAACAATCTCGAGCTTTCGATCAAAGTACTCGCTCTTCGTTATCCTTTCTTCCGCCGTCATAAAGCCCTTGCGCATCTCTGCGGCTAGATCGGTTATGTCAAGCATCAGTCCGCTGAGCTTCCACTTCGGATAGTCAGTGTTGACGAATTGTGCTGCGTGTACTCGTATTTTTCGTATGGAAGGATCCACCACTCGCCCGGTACTCAATGAGCATATCGTCGCGTTCAGGGAAAGTCCCATCAATGCCCGTAGCTCAGTGCCTTCCTTGAAAGAATCTACACCTCGCAGTTTAACCAATGTGAGAGCGCCCTCGATATGGGCGTGTCCTGATGTGTTGATCTCCAAGGCTGACTTCATGATCTTCTCAAAGAGATCCAGCAGCAACGCGCCTTCGAAAGTCGATGTCGCTTTTGCTGTCGTGGGATCTTGCAGGGCAATGTTGATCTCCCGTAGTGCTTGACAGTACTTTCTGCGTCCTAGATCTTTTGCAGTCTCAGAGGAAACCTGATGGGACAAGAAGGCGAGACTGACCGCTTCGATGCTCAAAGTAAGATATTTGGGTGTGGATCTTGGGTCTAGATAGTTGTATAGGAAGTCCCATGTCCGACTGAAATCGGAGACGTAGTACGTGAAGAACATGTCCTGACCTAGGGTCAAAAGGTCTTGGGGTAGATGTCGGACCTTAAGCTTGACTTTGAAGTCGCCAACACATCGTTGCTTCAGTGGTGACCTTGTCTTTGCCATAGCCTTAGTTCGTACAAAGTCGGTCTCGTCGCTAATCCGAATGTTGATCGTGTCGCGATAGCCGGTGCATGCTGCTCCCACTCGAATGCAAGAGTTGCAACTTGGCCGTTGCAGATCACACTGGATGTGTCAGTAAGGAATCCCAACTTTGGATTCGAGGCATACTCGTAGTCTTCTCTCTCTACATCTTTCGCAAAACTTGGATGGTTTGCCGCGGAACACCATCAGATTCTCTGCAGCGTGAACGGTTTGCCAACCTGTAGGCCTGTTGAGCCTCAATTGATACTAAAAGAAAGAAAGTCTAGCTTCAATCTAATTGACAAGTCTCGCTTTACCAAGTAGATGAAAGTGGTTGAGTGGTGTATAGGGCTGCCGGCAACATATAGATGACTGGAAGCTGACTGCCGTACTAGTCCCAAGAAGGAATGCATTTCGTGCTGCGTCCACTAGCGCGATGTAAGCATGAAGGACGACTGCCAGCCAGTCGCGTAGGGGGTAGATGCTGCATTCCGAAGTCTGGCCTATCATCTAATAGTCTGAACTTGATAATGAAAAGCCTCAAAAGGTCATCAATGTTCCACAGCCGCGTAACTCGCAAATCGCTTTGGCTGCTGCCTACATCATCGTGCATTGGATTCCCAAAGAAGTGAGGTGGGTGGGAAGAAATCATGGTACCCGATAAGACTTATGTCCCGCCTACCACCTCCAAGCCAGGTCCTTCCTTACCTACAGCTCGAGGGCGAGCTATGTATGCATCACAACACAGCGGGTATGTTGAGCGCATCACGGGAATCCATGAAATCTTGAAGGGAAGATAGAGGTGCATTCCATGCTTGCAGACGATCTAGATATTTGATGAACAACGAAGCCTAATCGCTATCGTCGTACTTATTTCCAACCCCAACATCGCCTAGTAATATGTCATCAGGCGCCGGGCCCCTGTGATTCCTCACCCACTCTGTCTCTACACGGAAGAAGATCCATATCCATCTTCGCAACACCTCGAGAACTTCCATTGTAAAGATGCCTCCTTCCAAATCGTTGAAATGATCCAGATGCACACTGAGTTTCAGACTCCATGTACACCTCAGCATTGCGTCCACTGCAATGGCTGCATAGTAGAATTCTTTGGCATGGAACCAGCGATGCCGTCTTAGACCCCGTGGGTATTCTGAGCTATCGCGAGTACGGGCATTAGAGAAGAGGGTAAGATCCCAATCCTTGGCTACGTCCCAGTAGAAAGAGTAGCCAGAGTTTACCACCACTGCGACGAGCCACATACGGAACAACGTCGCTTCCGAAACACCAAAGCGGGATGGATCAGGCGAGCGTTGCAGAGCACTCAGTATGATGACAGGAAATGCGGTCGAGTATTTCAGTGCGTTGGCCAAATGCTGGCCACCCCATCCTGTCGCTGGACTAATCTGCCCGGTTTGCTTGTTCGCCTTCTGAACACGATAGTATTCTGTGATACACTGCCGTAGACGTATCATCGAGGGTATAGCGATGATGAAGGGAACCCAGAACACGCCGCCGCAACTCCTGTTTGGAGGCCCTGTTGAGCTGTGCGACGACGAGAAGAACATGCACAGTGAGACGAATAGATCGCCGAGCACCTTCGCATAACTCGTCAACGCATCGGCTAGCAGAATGTCTCCAAACTTTCCGTCTTGTGCTTCTGCGATGCCGCCGATCGATATGCGTTTCAGCGTCGCCAATGTACGAGTCCGTCCATTGCGACTAACAAATGGCAGCGGTATGACAAAGCCAATGACCAGTACCAAGAGGTAGAGGTTTGGCAGAATTTCCCAAGCGGCAATATCTGTAGGGCTGCCGTGCGTAAGGGTCCAGAACAGGAGCAGCGAGAGGGCAAGCGGGATGGAGAGGAAGGTTGCGATGCGGTAGCAGGAGAGGTGGTGCGGGATATGGCGGGGTGAGGTACGGCCCGGGTAGCGGATCAGACTCGGGACGTCTATCTTTATGAGGGTGAGGTAGTGGAGGTTTAGACCCCAGGCCCAGATGCCTGTGCGGCAGTTAGTAAGGTGGTTGAGAGCAGACGGCCTGAGCATTCGCATACCCAGAACTATTATAAGAGCGACGCGATACGGCAGGGGCAGCACGCGACTGAAGCCATCGATTTCTGGCTCGACGGCGGGATCACCGTCCATTTCTCGAATGCGCGCTCGGTTCCGTGGCGGTTGCTGTGTCCCAGCCTGTTCTCTGCCGTATGATCATGAAGCTCCTCGATGCAAAAGACACCCCCAATTGGTCCCTCTCTTCACAGCTATCTCCGGTCGTGTGGGCGCAAGGGGTTGCAGATGTCGCGATAGCGTGTCCACTTCCCCAAGGCGATGGCACGAAACACGCTAGCTAATTTACAAGCCACTCTTCAGCCGCCGTTGCGTTACGTCAGCATGGGCTCCAGCCTCATGCGCGCTAGCTGCATCGTGCCTGGCGGAGTGGATCTTTGGTCTGTGCGACGACCGCGGGAGCTTTGCCTAAAGCACAAGGCCATGACGCGATCATCGCGACGACAAAGTGACGCTTCTCCGCCGTATGCTATTGGGTACCTGGCTTTGGAGGGAAAACAACGCCTAGATCTCTAGACTCGCTGCACTACTTGCTTCTTCTCCACATACCAAGGTTTCCATTGACTGTCCCTACTTCGTGCGTCACACCACCCAGCACGACACACAGCACCTTCCACTTCATCTCTGTCGCTCTAAACCTCCACCCTCACCTTCTCCCACTCCCACCTCGTCAATTGAAGGGAGACAGCAGGACCAACAGCAATCATGTCGCCTCTCTCTGTCCCTAAAATTTTCATGGCTGGCGGCGCCGTCGGCTTCGGCTACTACCTCTTCATGCGCCAATACTGGTTCCCCAACCCGTACAAGACACAGGGCGTCCAGAACATCGAGGATCGCTTCTCAGCTGGCGGAGGCCACCCCACGCACACACCTGCTGGAGGAACCCAGCGCGGTACGGGTATAATGAGCTCCCCAGACTTAAAACCCTGGAAGTATATAGAACGGAGTTTGCTGACATCAAGCTTGTAGGCTCTGCGTCCGCAAACGAAGGAAGGCACGACGGCCCGAGCAAGGGCCCAGACTCCGAGCACTTCAAGAAGAACATCAGCGACCAGCAGAGTGAGGTATGTGGCACACTGATTTCGATGCCCAAGGACTGTGCTAACATGCGATAGCCTGTTTGGCCGAGCAAATTCAACGAGATACAATACAACAACCCCAAGGGCAAATAAGCGACTCCGGACCGATCGAGCAGACACAAAAAAGCATGGCAATATACAGCCAGGGGGCATTGGGCATCTGATGAATGGCATCATTGGCGTTTGGCAGATAGCGATGCACGATAGCATCCTGTAGATTTTTGAAACCCTCACTGTTGCGGCCAGTTGAGCGCAATGAGGCCCCCAGATAATCGAGAAATAACAAAACCAATTTTCCAAGGAGCGCCCAATGCCGTATAGCTGTCAGCAACTCTCGGTACCTGATGAAGTCCATGCTGTTCCGCGTAGCTATGGAAGTGGAACTACACATGCCGGGATCATATTGACGAATAAGCAACGTCACACCACAACAAAATGAACCGAGGTAATGCAGCGGAGGAATTCAGCAAGACAATGTTCACACGCGCTGGCTGTTTGAAAAGTGCGACGTATACAGATGCTGGTGATTATGTATGAAAGAGTCCAAGGCCTAGATCTTCGCATTGCCTGTTTTCCTTGCGGCTGTGTTCCTAGCAGCATCCAACACAAATGCTACATGATGGCTCAAAGCCACCAGATCGCCGTCAGCATCGTGCACCCACACTTCCAAGTCCATCCTACCGTTCGCCACCTTTTTCATACCCGCCCTAACCTGCAGCCACTTGACTCCCTGCGGCGGCAGCGCTTTCTTGATGTCCAGATTCAGTAGGAGGGTTGGATACCAAAAAGGTCCCTCTCCTTCGCTCTTGATTGACTCAACCATCAACGGGAACATGTCTGCGACAAAGCCGACCGATGAATCCGTGAAGTTTGTCCCATCAGAGAAGCAGATCCACTCATCAGCGAGATGCTTTAGGCTTCGTCCTTCCCGAGGGAAATAAAACTTCACCCTCTTCGTCGCTTTTCTGAAGTTGGCGTGCGGCAATTCTGGTTGTAGCCTCCAGTTTGTATCTTCATCATTTTCCAGCTTTGTCAGGTCGACTGACGGGACGGGTGGTGAAAGCTTATATCCGACATCTTGGGTGAAGCCCTTTTCCGTATCCATATTGGAATTTGTGACATACGCGACGACTTCCTGTCGGCCGTCTTGCTCCATGGTCACATGTACGATAGACGTTTGGCGACCAAGTTTAACATCGTCGACTTTGTATGTTGCGGGCCCGGCTTGGGTCCGTCTCAGGAACTCAATGTGGAGAGCTATGGTGTGTGGCTGGTTCTGCTTCGCCAAAGTTGTGCTGAAATGTGTTTTGACTACCTCCAGTATGCTAACAAGTCGAGATGTGGTTAGTCAAGAGTGTGAGGCAAAACGCGATGGGTCTTACCATCCTGTAACGTAGCCACCATTAGGAACTGTTGCCGTTAGTAAAAGCGGATGATGTTATCTCTGCTGGGGTCTAAAATACCGCTTCCGATGCTCCAATCATCGTGTAGTGTACATGAGTACGTGTTGGAGGACAGTTTCTGTACTGCAGTAGCTTCTTCCCAACTCGGCATCTTGATAACCTAATAGTGCGGAACTTTCGTGTGTTTGGAGAACTAATAAGTCTATATGGTCAGGCTATCGATGTTCGAGGTTGTCGCAATGCCGTTGACCTCGGGAGGCCATGTGCAGCTATCGCGCCGCTAACGCCAAAAGCAGAAAGAACCTCGGTCATGGTTGCACGGAGTTGTGGGGTTTACCCCGGTCGACTAATCATGGCCAGCCGTCTCAATGCGCTGCGTCTGCCCTCGGTATTCCCAGGTCCGTTAGAACGCGACGGGCCATGTCCGT